TCTCCTAGAAGGAGTTTGCTTGTATACTAAATTTCTCAACTTAAACATTTGTCTTTTGTTCAAGTTACTATGTCCTGAACTTCTAAGCTCTGGAAGCAAAAGTGACTGAGCATGTGCAAATCTACATAGATTGAAAACCAATAAATTTACATTGTATTTCTAGCACCTTTATGGACTATGATAACCAATAGTAGTTCAGAATAGGGGTTAGAAACCACAAATCTCTGTTTATTTGAATAAATCTTTACAGAACATTCCTACACTGGCTACTTCACATAAACTTGCCTTGGGAATTTAATGCATGAATTCAACCAATTTCCTGTACCCTCTGCAGGACTCTTAAAATGTCTTTAGGTAAAATCTGAGAGCCAGGTGTGGTGGCAGAGGCCTGTAATCCCAGAGGTTTATAATTGTGATTTGAAAGACAGTCTCAGCATCTTAGCAAGCCTCTAAGTAACTTAGTGAGAAATTGTCTCAAAATAAAACATACAAAGGACTGAGGATGTGGCTCAGTGGTAAGCACTCCTGGGTTCATCTCCTAGTGCCAAACCAACTAAGATACACAAATTTCTGAAAGATGACAATTATGCCAGTGTACATATACATGTAAAAATATTGGTGAAAATATAAAATTAATAAATATATTTTTGAAAAAAGTGTTAAGTTTCTTCAAAAGCTAAAAATAAAAATGACATATAATCCACTAATAATAATGTTGGGTAGCAGAGCAAGGCTGCACATGCCTATGCTCCCAGTGGCTCAGGAAGATAAGAAAGGAGAATCTCAAGTTCAAGACCAGTCTCAGCAATTTGGCAAGGCCGTAACCAAATGAGTGAGATGCTGTTTCAGAAAAGGGGAACAGGTTGGTGTATAGCACAGTGACAAAGTGCCCATGGGTTAATCTAGGGTGACTCAATAAATAAAAATAATAATAATAAATCAGGGTAAAAAATGCCATACAATCCAGTAATAATATTTCTGGGCATACATCTAGATGAATTGGAAAACTTTTCTCAAAGAAATAACTGCAATTCCATTTT